TATATATATACATATACAACTGAGTGACCACCTATATTATAGTTGGAACTAGCTGTGCCCGCGTCTTCGTCTGCGTGGAATTTAAAACTCTATTTTTCTAATATTAAGTAGCCTATGTTACACCTTATTATATCAGCCTGTCAAAAAAAGTCTGTTAATATCGGTCCAGCCATTTCAGAGATTAGCCGGAACAAACAGACAGACAGGCAGACAGACGAAAATAATAAAAAAATGTTATTTTGGTGTATGTACCGTATTTATATTCATATGCATGTAGTAAAAAACTGTTATTTCAATATTACAAACAGACACTTCAATTTAATTTATATGTATATAAATTAAAACATATATATATATATCTTTGTCATTAAAGAAATTTATTATAATTCACATATACAGACCGTACAGTAGGTCTGTATATGTGATATAATGGAGAGCACTATACAAGTCGCAGTGTTAAAAGTCCCAAAACCCCGAATAAAAAAAACAATATATATGTGTAATATCCTCTAACATATTTAACCGAGAAGAATGGACGGTAATACTCAGTTGTCTCTAGGTAAAAGAAGATATATAGACATAAAATTTGAAGGAGTCACTCATTGTACAAATATATATATATATATGGGTGTGTCTGTGTGTATGTGTGTGTGTGTGTGTGTGTGTGTGTGTGTGCGGGGGCGTGAGTGCGCGGCGCTGTGTGTGTGGCGAGTACCGCCTTCACTACAATGTAATTTAGAATCTTGCACGCTTTTAGTACCTCTTACGTTAATTTAACTACACGCGACGTAGCGGCGGGCCCGCCCTCTATCACAGTGTATATATCATATAAAAATATATATCTCACCTAATATTTCTTAATAAACTTACTTAGATAACCGTGAAATACTATTAATACTTAATCATAACATAGTATAAAATTAAAGTCGCTGTCGCTGTCTGTCCCTATGTATGCTTAAATCTTTAAAACTACGCAACGGATTTTGAATCGGTTTTTTTATGAGATAGGGTATTTCTACAGGAAGGTTTTTATATATAATACATGTACACCCGTGCGAAGCCGGGGCGAGTAGCTAGTAATATTATAAATATGAAAGTAGGGTTGTTTGTTTCGCTTTCACGCAAAAACTACTGAACCGATCATCATCATGAAATTTTGTACACATGTTATTGGAGGTATTATAATGACCATAGAATACTTTTTATTAAAAAAAAAAACAATTTTTATAAAAATGAAAATAATATCAACATTTTGCTACTTCAGCGCCATCTAGCAACCAGTAATGAAATTATGCGAGTGAAGCCGCAGGTAAATGCTAGTATTATATAATACGACGAGTCTACGTCGATCACAGCCCCGGATAGGGGGTCCATGCCCGGGCGGCAATTTCGGACTTGGCTGATGAGTACGCACTTTAACAACTTGACCACTGATAGACAAGTAATTTTTTTGTGTTCAATGCATTTAAAAATGAAGATATAGTTATCCAAAAAGCCACAATAACTTTAACAACTTGACCACATCCGTCTGTCGGACGACAAGTAAATTTTTTGTGTTCAATGCATTTAGAAATGAAGATATAATTATCCATAAAGCCACAATAACTTTAACAACTTGACCACATCCGTGTGTCGGACGACAAGTAAATTTTTTGTGTTCAATGCATTTAGAAATGAAGATATAGTTATTATTCAAAATGCCAATGCAATAACTTTAACTTTGACAACTTGACCACGTCTGTCTGTCGGACGTCAAGTAAATTTTTGTGTTCAATGCATTTAGAAATAAAGATATAGTTATCCAAAAAGCCACAATAACTTTGACAACTTGACCAATTCCGTCTGTCGGACGACAAGTAAATTTTTGTGTTCAATGCATTTAGAAATGAAGATATAATTCTTCAAAAAGCCACAATAACTTTAACAACTTGACCACATCCGTCTGTCGGACGACAAGTAAATTTTTGTGTTCAATGCATTTAGAAATAAAGATATAATTATCCATAAAGCCACAATAACTTTGACAACTTGACCAATTCCGTCTGTCGGACGTCAAGTAAATGTTTTGTGTTCAATGCATTTAGAAATGAAGATATAATTATCCAAAAAGCCACAATAATTAATAGCAATACACATAGCAGTGACAAATTGTATGTTAATATATATATATATTGCAAACATGTTGGTCAGTAGCGGAGGGCGGGGGGAGCCGTATGGGGCGGCATTTATGTTTCACCCCGCCTGGAAAAGAATAAAGATCGGGGGTTGACGCTTCACATTACCCACTGACTACCCTACGTGACTATTCGTGAAGATATATAATTATGAAATGCCTAATCGAAGTATGCCATATCTATAGTAACATATATATGATGTATTTCATATTATACTAGCTAACCGCCCTGGCTTCGCATGGTTTTTTTTTATTTATGTTGTATATTGTATCTCCTTTCAATACAGCGGTTGCGCTATCGGTGTACGCTCGTTAATATTAGGAGTGGAACGGAAATGAATAATTTTGTTACATTTGTACTGGGCCGACGGCATTCAGCAATTATAATACATAAAAGTACTACCAACCACTGACCATCAGTCACTTAAAGTTGGTTGTACATGCATTGTATAAACGTCCGTTGAATCTATCTATTGCTAATAACTGCATTGAAATCAGCGTAGTTTAAAAGGTAAAAGCGAACAGACACCGGAAGCGAATTCATTTTCTACGTATCATGTACTATATAAAAATGTCGATATCGAAATGTATGTTATTTTAAAGACCCTATTAGTAATATATATTAAATACATTTTATTCCTCTTAATTACAGATAATGTATAAATGTTCATGCATTTTCTTACATATATATGTTTATGATTAAAATGTCTAATACATATGTATCCTAGTCCTTGGCGGGGCCCGCCAATCCTACATTTCATAATTCAAATACATATAAAGTTTTATATATATTATATAATATAGTCTACAATCAGGCAGTGGATTCACATTCCAGAATATTCCCAACTATATAATAACTTTTTCCTTTATTACATACATCATTCCATATAAAAACCCTGCCTCTAAAAATCCTTAAGACTAATGTCATACATTTAATCAATCTATAATAATAATAAAAATCCGTCATTATACATATTTTTGTTATTAATTAAAATAGCAAACAAACTAACTGTCACCTGATGGTAAGTACTCGCCGTGTCTTATACATCAGCTATTAATAACGTCACAAAATACATGTGACGGTTTTGGTGACCCTCAAACGCAGGGGCGGATCTACCTAAGGGCTTTTTGGGCTGCAGTCCAGTGCCCCGTGGATAAAAGGGGCCCCCAGGCCCCACTGAAAACCATAGGCAATGTTTGGAATAAAAAAATCTAACATATCAAAAAACCTACCATAACTTTTGCAATCTTGAGATCAATCAACCCATGCATACGTCGAACGGAACGAGGACAAATCACCGTCGCTTGTTTTTGGTCGGTGTATTTTTTTAGTAAGTATAATAATTTTAGCCCAGAGACAATTTCTCATACGATCTTGCTCATACGTTGCTATTCATGGGAGTTAAAGTTTGCTGTTTACCATCAGATGGGCCGTATGATTGTCACCATCGTAGAACAAAAAAAAGCGAATGTACCCTGAAATTCCACTGCTCATGTCACCCTTCAAATTGGAACAGGAGCTCGCAAATGAGTTGCTAGTTCCGGTTGTACGTAGACTTCGAACACAGTCTCATTCTGGTAAACGAAGGAACAAAATAACAAAATTACAATACAATTCATTTAGCGATACTATCCTACATTACGTTCTATTATTAAGTGTAAAATTGTTACAACTACATATATTTCTTTCTATCTATCCGTAATACAATATATCTGTTTGAGATTTAAATACGAAAAGTCTGTATTGTGAACCTTAAATCTATAATGTTAAATTACACTCTCGCTTGCACACGTCAATATATAAAACACAGGTACGCTGTTATACGCACGCAAACACACACACGTGTTAACAATACACACACATAGAGAACATACAGGCATCAAAACACACACATTTGGTTGATATGCGACGAGTATCCTGTTTTAATGCGATGCCGTTTGACTCCTTCCTCGATAGCAAGTCCCGTCAAATCTGTAAAACATTATTATATTTATTTATATTATTTATATCTTATCACTACGACTGATTTAATCTTATTGTGTTTTTATAGTTGAGCCTAAATAAATTAGTGCTGGTTGGTAGTTTGTATTCACACGTTTCGACTTGTAAATGTGAACTTACAAGGATTGTTTAAAAGAGCAACACACAAGTTTCTTGCTTATTCTTCTTGTGATGAGACAGCTTTCCGAATAAGCGGTAGATTTAAAAAAAAAAGTTGACTATTCAAAAGTGCTTAAATTAAGTTTATTTGAATAAATGATTTTTTATTCTATTCTATTGTGTTATATTATTTATTAAACGTAATACATATTTTAATTACAAAAAAAGGATACCTTATTCGTTTATAAGAACAAGAATAACTTTATTTTCGGAAAACTCTGTTGGTTTCCTGATGATGCCTCGTGTGGAGGCGAAACATGTGTATGCGTAAACAACATAGGTGTAGACTCAATAACGTTCGGAATTTGATCACCCATAGAGGTCATTAGTCAGGGTTTCCTGCACTGAATATTTGTGGTCTTATACATGCTAAATAAATATGACAGAATAAAATAAAATAATATAAATCCATTGAGTAGTGAAATGAACTTTTGAAAAATATGCAGTGCTTGTATCGTGGAAGTCAAAGCAAATGAACTTAACATTTTTACGATAATAATATTGTGTTTACTTAATAGTAATATATAAAAAATATGGTTTGATGATACATCAAATTATTATTTATATATATGTATATCATTATATTTTTTATTAATGGGTTTAGAATGTTTCTATATAAACAAAAAGGTGTGTATACAGCATCAGTAGGTACTCACAGAAGTCGGCGATGGTGGAGGGTGTGATGATGGTCGCTATATGAGGCGCTCCTCGGGCGGCGGCTTGAGGGCGTGGTGCATCATCTCTGCGCGCGGGTTGCACCCGCGCCCGCCCGCCCCTCCGCGCCCACTCCTGTCCGGACGGAGCGCCGCCCCCGCGAGTACCCGCGCCCGCCCGCCCCCCCCGTCCGCCGCGCCCGCCACGCCCGCATACATATATATATATATACCACCAGCGCCGCCCCCGCGGCGCGCCACGCGCGCGGCCACCCGCGCCCGCCCGCCCCCTCCGCGCCCACCTCGTCCGCCGCGCCCGCCAGCGCCACCAGCGCCGCCCCCGCGCCCAGCGCCACGCGCCCCCACCCGCGCCCGCCCGCCCCCTCCGCGCCCACCTCGTCCGCCGCGCCCGCCACGCCCGCCAGCGCCGCCCCCGCGCCCAGCGCCACGCGCCCCCACCCGCGCCCGCCCGCCCCCACCGCGCCCACCTCGTCCGCCGCGCCCGCCACGCCCTGCCCCACCACATACATATATATATATATACCACCAGCGCCGCCCCCGCGCCCCGCGCCACGCGCCCCCACCCGCGCCCGCCCGCCCCCTCCGCGCCCACCTCGTCCGCCGCGCCCGCCACGCCCTGCCCCACCACATACATATATATATATATACCACCAGCGCCGCCCCCGCGCCCACCTCGTCCGCCGCGCCCGCCACGCCCTGCCCCACCACATACATATATATATATATACCACCAGCGCCGCCCCCGCGCCCAGCGCCACGCGCCCCCACCCGCGCCCGCCCGCCCCCTCCGCGCCCACCTCGTCCGCCGCGCCCGCCACGCCCTGCCCCACACATACATATATATATATATACCACCAGCGCCGCCCCCGCGCCCAGCGCCACGCGCCCCCACCCGCGCCCGCCCGCCCCCTCCGCGCCCACCTCGTCCGCCGCGCCCGCCACGCCCTGCCCCACCACATACATATATATATATATACCACCAGCGCCGCCCCCGCGCCCAGCGCCACGCGCCCCCACCCGCGCGCCCGCCCCCTCCGCGCCCCCCCCGTCCGCCGCGCCCGCCACGCCCTGCCCCACCACATACATATATATATATATACCACCAGCGCCGCCCCCGCGCCCAGCGCCACGCGCCCCCACCCGCGCCCGCCCGCCCCCTCCGCGCCCACCTCGTCCGCCGCGCCCGCCACCGCCCCACCACATACATATATATATATATACCACCAGCGCCGCCCCCGGGCGAAGCGAGTCGAGCCGCGTGCGCCCGCCCGCCCCCTCCGCGCCCACCTCGTCCGCCGCGCCCGCCACGCCCTGCCCCACCACATACACCCACCCTCGTCCGCCGCGCCCGCCACGCCCTGCCCCACCACATACATATATATATATATATACCACCAGCGCCGCCCCCGCGCCGCGCCCCCCCCCGCGCCCGCCACGCGCCCCCAGCGCCACGCGCCCCCACCCGCGCCCGCCCGCGCCCGCCCGCCACGCCCTGCCCCCCCACATACATATATATATATATACCACCAGCGCCGCCCCCGCGCCCAGCGCCACGCGCCCCCACCCGCGCCCGCCCGCCCCCTCCGCGCCCACCTCGTCCGCCCGCCCGCCACCCCCTGCCCCACCACGTCCGCCGCGCCCGCCACGCCCTGCCCCACCACATACATATATATATATATACCACCAGCGCCGCCCCCGCGCCCAGCGCCACGCGCCCCCACCCGCGCCCGCCCGCCCCCTCCGCGCCCACCTCGTCCGCCGCGCCCGCCACGCCCTGCCCCACCACATACATATATATATATATACCACCAGCGCCGCCCCCGCGCCCAGCGCCACGCGCCCCCCCCGCGCCCGCCCGCCCCCTCCGCGCCCACCTCGTCCGCCGCGCCCGCCACGCCCTGCCCCACCACATACATATATATATATATACCACCAGCGCCGCCCCCGCGCCCAGCGCCACGCGCCCCCACCCGCGCCCGCGCCCACCTCGTCCGCCGCGCCCGCCACGCCCTGCCCCACCACATACATATATATATATATACCACCAGCGCCGCCCCCGCGCCCAGCGCCACGCGCCCCCACCCGCGCCCGCCCGCCCCCTCCGCGCCCACCTCGTCCGCCACGCCCGCCACGCCCTGCCCCACCACATACATATACACGACACCGTCCGCGCCGCCGAGGACGACGACCCAGAACATACCGTCGGGTACGCGAACGAAGGGGTAGCAGTAGAAATCATTTGTAGAATGCGTGCTTTTCATCAACGATACAATACATAAATAGAAAAATGTAAAGTGAGGCGACACAGTTTAGACACGGCAGTGATTTATAGACAATATTGAGTTTGTTTTACTAGCCATTATTAAATGCAATTACTATTTTGATGTATCTAGGCAACTATGTCCCATATGTGTATACTCAACGTTTGGTTTCCTTTAATAAATCCTTACTAATATTATAAATGCAAAAGTAACTCTCTCTGTCTGTCTGTCTCGCTTTCACGCCAAAACCACTGTACTGATTTTAATGAAATTTCGAACACCTAATCTAGACCCTGAGAATGGATATAGCGTACTCTTTAATTTAGAAAAGGGTTGTAAGGGGATTGAAAGGGTAGATGCAAGATTGTATGGATATATCACCATTTTCAAAGCCTGACACTGATTTATAGGCTGTTGATTAAATATAAATAAAGAAAAATGGGTTGTAAGGAATTTAAAGGACAGTTAAATATGAAAAAATTGGCATTTTTAAAGTTAGAAGCTTGAAGTTTAATTTTTAGCCTATTTATTAAATATATACTATGAAAAACTGTTATAAGGGGTCGAAAGAGATATGAAAGAATGTATGGAAGTGTCGTCACTTTTGAAGCTAAAACGATGAAACTTTTTCATTTGACTTTTATTGGGTCAGGTCATTAAATATTTTTTTTATTGTTTGGTCAAGGTCACAATTTTTCGCGCACGAAGTCACGGGTACGGCTAGTGAATAAAGTAAATGTGCATGCTAGTAAATATGTGACCGGACCTGGTGCGAGCAGTTCTTGCCGGTCCAGCCGCCGCTGCAGTGGCAGACGTAGTCGGTGAGCGCGGCGCAGCGCTGCTGGCAGCGCCCGGCGTGGAGGCAGGGCCCGGTGCGGTTGCCGGCGGAGTCCCCGGCGGAGTCCACCAGGTCGGTGCCGGGCGGCTGCTGCTCGTAGCACGGGTCCCGCAGCGCGCACTCGTGGCCGCAGAACCCGGGCGAGCACTCGCACCTACCGCATTACCGATATGCAAACTTACATTCTATATCAAAATTTAAAAAAAAATCATAAATTCAAAATATCTTTATTCGTGTAGGTCTATTACAGACTATTATGATACATCAAATCTACCGTCAGGTCGGAATGATTTCAAGATGAGAAAGAACTGACGAGAAACTCGGCTCGTATTCTTTTCATATAAATGTTGTACATGTTTACAATAATACAGATTCATTTTTAAATTCAAATTTGGAAGAATACAGTGACTAAGCATATGCTATTGCTGAAGCAAATAGTCTAATCAGTGTTCATGACCCGAACAGAAGCAGCACCCAAAACATTACTACTATATATATATTCAAAACAGCGTTTTTGATCAATTTTCTTTACAATCAATTGTAAATTCATATATTTAATTAAACTATATTAAATGTTTATGATAATAGCAATCGGTTTGTACAATCATGTCATAATTTTGATACGAAATACGTAAATAATGTACTCTACAATAGTGATGTGCAACTTCAAATACAGTTTTTTTACTTACGCAGTATTTATGATATCACTATGTATTACTATATAATAAAATCAGTGTGTAACATCAAACGCTCACTACGGGACGACTTTTATTTTATCATCCCCATAGATTATCAATAACTGTGGGAACAACCCCTACATTTTTAGTCCTTCGAGCCGGACACTAATGTAGACAGGAGAAAGAAAGTAAGAGAGTGAGTGCTTCGTACGTGTAGGAGCCGTCGAGGTTGCGGCAGTCACCAGGCCCGCAGTTGACGGCGCCGCTCGCGCACTCGTCCACGTCCACCTCGCACCGAAGGCCGGTCCATCCTACGAATACACATACATAACTATACTAATATAATAGACCGGTACACATAGAAATAATCCTTATTCAAATATACATAATGAAAGCACTTTTAAATAGTCATAACAATTTTTTATTTAATCCACCGTTCATTCGGAAAGCTGTCTCATCTCAAGAAGAACGAGCAAGAAACTTGTGTGTTGCTATTTTAAATAATCCTTGTAAGTTCACATTTTACAAGTCGAAACGTGTGAATACAAACCAGCACAATATGATTAAATCAGTCGTAGTGATAAGAGCAGACCAGTCCCTACAAGCAGCACTTCACGTTCACGAATATGACGGATATAGAAAACACCCAGATGGGTCAAATAATCATGCCAATGAAAACAAATATTTGCACCATTCGAGGAATGGAATCCACGATCATCGGAGCTAAAACGGTGTGCAGTACCGCTAGACCACCGAGGTCGTCAGAATTAAATAAATATGAGTAATTAACGGGACATATACACTGTTAACATTAACAGGATGGTGACCACTTGTGGTTATTATTGACTCATACGTGATTACTGTAATAAGTAATAAGTAATCATTCTGTAAGTAGGCATAGGAACAACATAAGTATGTACTTGTACTTGGGAATACATATGTATTATATTAAAACTAGCTACTCGCCCTGGCGTCGCCCGGGCGTACATGTATTATACATATAAACCTTTCTCTTGAAACACTCTATCTATTAAAACAACCGTTTCAAAATCCGTTGCATAGTCTTAAAGATTTAAGCATACATAGGGACAGACAGCGACAGCGACTTTGTTTTATACTATGTAATGTTAGTTTAATATAATTTACGCTAACTGTATTTCTCGTTAAAACTAGTAGTAATTACTGGGTTTATCGCAATTAACAACTGTTTATCATTGTTATCTGAACTGCAGGAAAAATTCATAACATTAATACATTATTATCTCTTGGGTTAGATTAGTTAAATGTGATAAAGATTTAACATCATTTCCATAAAAAGGTGACGCGGAAAATGCATTTCACGTAAGTCAGTTTTAACGACTATAATTTCTCGTGAAAATATATATAATAAACTGGCTGTATCCGCGACATCGTCCGCGTAAAATACTGAACTTGAATTGTCCTTAAATTGTACAGAAAATAAGACAAGGACCAGAATAATGCTCAGAGAATATTATATATGAACTGCAAGCTATGAAAGAATCTGCTAGAGCGAAGAGCAAGTCCAGTAACCGCATATGGACAGACAGCGACAACGACTTTGTTTTATACTATGTAATGATAACAATTTTAAAAAAATCCTTAAATAATACAAGAACTAGAATATTGGCCACAGAGTATATATATGAACTGTGATAGTACCTGCTAGGACGAAGAGCAAGTCCAGTAACAGCATATTACTAGAATATTGGTCACAGAGTATATATATGAACTGTGATAGTACCTGCTAGGACGAAGAGTAAGTACAGTAACAGCATATTTGGTATGAAACTTCTGCTACCAGGTGTCAGGAATCATCTACTGCCCACCATAACTGTCACCACTGAGCACAAACACATGGCACACCAGCAACGTCACTTCAATCCCACAGTTTATTAAATTATAGAGCGCCAATATTTGTTTCCTGCAGTGGCCTCGATACAGCGCGCCAGTGAATCAGAAACTATGACATGTCCCTTAGACTAATATCTTGTGACGTCATGAATACGTCATCACAACGCTGACGAACAATAAATCCGATTGGTTTACTATTAAATGAATGCTATGTTCTTGCACGGGAGTTTAATTTAATGTTAGACATAGACACCTATATAAATATACATCTATATATATATAAATAAAATTGGAGTGTCTGTTTGTAATGTTGATAAACTGTTTTTTTCTACATGCATATGAATATAAATAAGGTACATTCACCAAAATAACATTTTTTTCAATTTTTGTCCGTCTGTCTATCTCTTTGTTTCGGTTTTCTCTGAAATGGCTGACTGTTTGTAATGTTGATAAACTGTTTTTTTCTACATGCATATGAATATAAATAAGGTACATTCACCAAAATAACATTTTTTTCAATTTTTGTCCGTCTGTCTATCTCTTTGTTCCGGTTATTCTCTGAAATGGCTGGATGGATTTTGACGGGACTTCTTTTGGCAGGTAGGTGATGTAATAAGGAGTGACTTAGTCTACTTTTATTTTAGAAAAAATTTTTAATGTAGAAAAATATAGTTAAATTCCACGCGGACGAAGTCGCGGGTACAGCTAGTTGTAAATAATCTGATTAAAAAAAAAAGTAATTCAATTGAGTTTCTTGCCAGTTTTTCTCAATTGGATCTATATACCGAACTGGACGGTAGGGAAAAATATAATGTAATAAACTTAACGTTCATAAGCGGCTAAAATGTCCTACATGAATAAATTATTTTTGTATTTTGAATATATAAAGTAGTGCAATGTGGAAGAGTAGAGTAGGTGTTTTAATAATGTTTATCATTTGGAAAAGTTTGCTCAATTTATTTCTTATTCATATTTTTTTACTTTTATTTAGTTACGCACAACAATAATGATGAAAAAAATGTGTTGTAAGGTATAGTTGGTTGGTTGGTTGTTGGTTATTGGTTGTAGGTACTATGTTGTCGGTTGAGACGATGTATATATACAGATGATAATAGACTGACAATATGTACATAGAAAATATTGATCTTATATACTAAATGACAATAGGAAAATGTAAGGTGTGGTGACACAGTTTAGACACAGCAGTGCTTAGTACACAATATTGGATTTGTCTTACTAGACATTATTAAATACAATTATATTGATGTATCTAGGTAACTGTGTCCTATAAGGTGGAAACAACAATTTATATTACAAAACCGAGTCAATATGGACAATTCAGCATAATATTGGAAACATAGTTTCGCTGATTTTCAGTTAATCTAATAAATTATCAATTTCAATACATTTATATATATTTTTTAATAAAATTTTATTTTATTATTAGTAACTAATTTTTCTTTGTTATTCAGACTTTCGTCTTTATTTTCCTGTTTGGTTTTATAAGACTAATATTTTATGACTACTGGGTTTATATCTAAACTAGCTTTTGCCCGCGGATTCTCTCGCGTTAATTTATCCCCTTAGGGATGGAATTTATCAAAATCCTTTCTTAGGGGATGCCTACGTCATAGTAGCTTTATGTATGCAAAGTCTCAGCCCGATCGGTTTAAAATTTACAAACTTTCATCCCCTATTTTATCCCTTTGAGGGTAGAATTAATAAAAATCCTTTCTTAGCGGATGGCTACGTCATAACATCTACCTGCATGCCAAATTTCAGCCCGATCTGTCCAGTGGTTTGGGGTGTGCGTTGATAGATCAATATGTCAGTCAGTCACCTTTGAGTTATATATACGTTAACTGTTTACCATCAGATGGCCCGTATGCTGGCCACCTTATATACAAAAAATCAATATTATACTTTTTATCCCGACCTCGGCCACGGACGAAACCGTAAGCAGTAGCTAGTATACAAATAAATTGTCCACAGTTTGAGAACGCGTGGTCGCGGCGCGTTATCAGTAGATTGGATCGTATCATTTGTATCGCTGTGATAAGGTGGTGCGTTATCAGCGTCCGCCATGTGACCACCATGTGCCTGGGAAGGTCGTTTCACAATACATACATACACACCGAGCACATCTCGATATGAACGCGCTCTCGTGCTCGTTCTTCTTGTGATAAGACAGCTTTCCGAACGAGTGGTAGATAAAAAACAAATTGTTATGACTATTCAAAAGTGCTTAAATTAAATGATTTTCTATTCTATTCTATTCACGGAATAGAAAAGGATAAAATAGAAATCATTTATTCAAATAAACTTACATTGAAGTACTTTTGAATAGTCATTACATTTTTTTAATCTACCGCTCGTTCGGAAAGCTGTCTCATCATAAGAAGAACGAGCAAGAAACTTGCGTGTTGCTCTTTTAAATAATTTTATTATTACTTTACATTTTTAAGTTTAAGTGTATGAATACAAACTACCGATTAGCACTAATTCAATTAAATACTCAAATAGAAAAAATATTGAATATATAACCAACTGGTTAAACAATTAATAAGAGGAAATCAGTCATAGTGATTAGAGCAGATCAGTCCCTACAAGCAACGGAAACACTACTTCTAAATCTCATGATGGGATTTATAAATTTTGTGTTGAAATTTATTTATTCAATAATATTAAATGAATGAAAAACTCTTTATTGTTCCTCTCGCAGAAAAAATATAACAATTAAATAAATTACTATGTACCACAAATATAAAAAAAACAATTACAATATAGAGGTAACAATGGGTGGCTATCTTATATTATTATATACTAGCCGTTCCCGCGACTTCGTATGCTTGGAATTTTCTTTTATTTTTCTAAAATAAAAGTAGCTTAAGTTACTCCTTATTACCTCAGCTACCTGCTAAAAAAAGTCCCGATAAAATCGGTCCAGCCATTTCAGAGATTAGCCGGAACAAACGGATAGACAGAAAAAAAATGTTAATTTCGTGTATGTACCGTATTTATATTCATATGCATGTAGTACGGCTATTTCAATATTACAAACAGACACTCCTATTTTATTTATATGTATAGATGTATATATAATGATAATAGCTGTACCCGCGACTTCGTCCGCGTAAAATAGTAACCTTGACAAGTTTCATCGATCTAGCTTCAAAAATGACGAATACTTACAGAATTCCATTCAACTCAATCACCAGCCTAAAATAAGTTTGAAGACTGCAGTTTCAAACATGACGACACTACCATACAATCTTTCATTTCCCTTTTCAATATCTTATAACCTTTTTTATAATTGAAAGTTAATATCAATAATCTTCACATGAAAGAATAGATCTTTTCGTAAAACCGAGTCGGGGCCGCCCCTGCTCGTGTCCCGTACCCGTGTGCCGCCCCTGCTCGTGTCCCGTACCTGTGTGCCGCCCCTGCTCGTGTCCCGTACCTGTGTGCCGCCCCTGCTCGTGTCCCGTACCTGTGTGCCGCCCCTGCTCGTGTCCCGTACCTGTGTGCCGCCCCTGCTCGTGTCCCGTACCTGTGTGCCGCCCCTGCTCGTGTCCCGTACCTGTGTGCCGCCCCTGCTCGTGTCCCGTACCTGTGTGCCGCCCCTGCTCGTGTCCCGTACCTGTGTGCCGCCCCTGCTCGTGTCCCGTACCTGTGTGCCGCCCCTGCTCGTGTCCCGTACCTGTGTGCGCGCAGTCGCAGCGGAAGCCGGCGCGCAGGTCGAGGCAGCGCCCTCCGTGCAGGCAGGCGGCGGCGCCCCCCTCCGCGCACTCGTCGCGCTCCACCTCGCAGTAGCGGCCCAGGAAGCCCTCCTCGCACGCGCAGTGCGGCCCCTGCACCGCACACACACCATATAATCACTCTATACACCAGGTGGGTATGTACATCAACTACATGACTTAGTCTCATTTACAGTAAATATATTTTTGTATCAAATTCTGTCATAATTCTAAACCTTCAATCACTGCATCAATATTTGGCGAAGACTCACCGTGGGTTCAGCTATGCACTCCCCATGGACGCAGGGCTGCACTTCGCAAAACGCGCTCTCGCAGTGCACGCCCTCGAATCCTTCGACACACTCGCACGTGTAGTTATTGCCGGTCGGTGGATCTGTACAGCAACAAAATAAATGTAAGTTTGACATGATGTGACACGAGTACCTACAGTGGAGGGGGCGGGGGCGGGGGCTCACCCGGGGCCCGGTCGCGGCAGGCGCGCGCGGCGCCGCCGCAGGGCCGGTGCTCGCAGCGGCGGCGGCGCGGCTCCTCGCAGCGCACGAGTACCTACAGTGGAGGGGGCGGGGGCGGGGGCGGGGGCGGGGGCGGGGGCGGGGGCTCACCCGGGGCCCGGTCGCGGCAGGCGCGCGCGGCGCCGCCGCAGGGCCGGTGCTCGCAGCGGCGGCGGCGCGGCTCCTCGCAGCGCACGAGTACCTACAGTGGAGGGGGCGGGGGCGGGGGCGGGGGCGGGGGCGGGGGCTCACCCGGGGCCCGGTCGCGGCAGGCGCGCGCGGCGCCGCCGCAGGGCCGGTGCTCGCAGCGGCGGCGGCGCGGCTCCTCGCAGCGCACGAGTACCTACAGTGGAGGGGGCGGGGGCGGGGGCGGGGGCGGGGGCGGGGGCTCACCCGGGGCCCGGTCGCGGCAGGCGCGCGCGGCGCCGCCGCAGGGCCGGTGCTCGCAGCGGCGGCGGCGCGGCTCCTCGCAGCGCACGAGTACCTACAGTGGAGGGGGCGGGGGCGGGGGCGGGGGCGGGGGCGGGGGCTCACCCGGGGCCCGGTCGCGGCAGGCGCGCGCGGCGCCGCCGCAGGGCCGGTGCTCGCAGCGGCGGCGGCGCGGCTCCTCGCAGCGCACGAGTACCTACAGTGGAGGGGGCGGGGGCGGGGGCGGGGGCGGGGGCGGGGGCTCACCCGGGGCCCGGTCGCGGCTAAATATTGGCGCGCGCGGCGCCGCCGCAGGGCCGGTGCTCGCAGCGGCGGCGGCGCGGCTCCTCGCAGCGCACGAGTACCTACAGTGGAGGGGGCGGGGGCGGGGGCGGGGGCGGGGGCTCACCCGGGGCCCGGTCGCGGCAGGCGCGCGCGGCGCCGCCGCAGGGCCGGTGCTCGCAGCGGCGGCGGCGCGGCTCCTCGCAGCGCACGAGTACCTACAGTGGAGGGCCACGCCCCGCGGGCGGGGGCGGGGGCGGGGGCTCTGTGCCCGGGGCCCGGTCGCGGCAGGCGCGCGCGCGCCGCCGCAGGGCCGGTGCTCGCAGCGGCGGCGGCGCGGCTCCTCGCAGCGCACGAGTACCTACAGTGGAGGGGGCGGGGGCGGGGGCGGGGGCTCACCCGGGGCCCGGTCGCGGCAGGCGCGCGCGGCGCCGCCGCAGGGCCGGTGCTCGCAGCGGCGGCGGCGCGGCTCCTCGCAGCGCACGAGTACCTACAGTGGAGGGGGCGGGGGCGGGGGCGGGGGCGGGGGCTCACCCGGGGCCCGGTCGCGGCAGGCGCGCGCGGCGCCGCCGCAGGGCCGGTGCTCGCAGCGGCGGCGGCGCGGCTCCTCGCAGCGCACGAGTACCTACAGTGGAGGGGGCGGGGGCGGGGGCGGGGGCTCACCCGGGGCCCGGTCGCGGCAGGCGCGCGCGGCGCCGCCGCAGGGCCGGTGCTCGCAGCGGCGGCGGCGCGGCTCCTCGCAGCGCGGTCCGCTCCACTCGGCGCCGCACGTGCACGTGTACCCCCCCGCCGCGTCCGCGCACGTGCCCCCGTGCTCGCACGGCGACGACGCGCACTCGTCGATGTCGTGCTCGCACCTGCCGTGAGAGAACGATCAATTCCAGTACATCCAAACCAAACGACGGGATCTCTAGTATTAGTCGAATGGAAATTTATATTGAGACAGTATAAACTTCGACTTCGAATTTTGGAAGAATGTGGGAAGCAGATATAAAATCGATGAGGTGTTTAGTTTGTAGAAGGTAAACGTATATTTGATCAATATGGACGCCGACTTGACACAATTAAATTCGAAACAACTAATTTAATAAACGAACGTTCATTAATTACGTAATAATAACGAAATATTAAAAAAATATTTTAAATGGAATGATCAACAAAGTAGTAACAAAAATGAAACTAACAGCTCTCCTTCGAAGCCCATCGGACAGATGCAGGTGTAAGCGGCGACGCCGTCTTGGCACGTGGCTCCATTCTGGCACTTGTTATCCTGACACTCGTCTACGTCCGTCTGGAAGAGAACAGTAATATTAGAGAAAGTATACTTAAAAAAAAATAGCAGTTTTTTACCAACGCGATGAAACGGCTAAATATTGATTAGCTGTCGGTAACGAGTGATCCGTGGAGATGTGATGAGATCCCTGTGCACGTGGTGGCCGGGCTCGCTCACCTCGCAGTGGTCGCCGCCGCGGCCACGCCCCGCGCCTGTGCGCGTGGTGGCCGGGCTCGCTCACCTCGCAGTGGTCGCCGCCGCGGCCACGCCCCGCGCCCTGTGCGCGTGGTGGCCGGGCTCGCTCACCTCGCAGTGGTCGCCGCCGCGGCCACGCCCCGCGCCTGTGCGCGTGGTGGCCGGGCTCGCTCACCTCGCAGTGGTCGCCGCCGCGGCCACGCCCCGCGCCTGTGCGCGTGGTGGCCGGGCTCGCTCACCTCGCAGTGGTCGCCGCCGCGGCCACGCCCCGCGCCCTGTGCGCGTGGTGGCCGGGCTCGCTCACCTCGCAGTGGTCGCCGACGTACCCGGGCGGGCAGGCGCAGGCGTACGAGCTGCGTACGTCTGCGCAGCGCCCGCCACGCGAGCAGTCCTGCTCCAGGCACAGCACGCAGCCCACGCCCTCCGCCGCTCCCCACCCGCGCCCGGACCTGATGCACGCGCACACATTTTCAAATCCTCTCCACAATTAATTTTAAATGACACACCGTTAGTGAAAATATGTATATACTAATAAGTGAGGCACTGGATTATCATACAAAGAAGTACGATTTTTCTAAAATCGACTGCTTACGAAAATGTTAGGTAATTTAAAATTTATTACAAGTATTGGGGGCTTGTCCAGCAGTGGACGTCTTCCGAGCTGCGATGATGATGATGATGATGATTGGGGGCTTGTCCGAAATAGATCGCTGAACGCAGGTCCAGAGCTCTGGTTTACAAATATTAATAATTAGCTGATCTGGACAAGTTCGTCTGTGTCACATTTTCCCCAGTTTCGCAACATTTTTCGTTGGAGCTCCGCTCTTATTCATCAATGTTATATCACAATGACACAAATAATATGATTCTATTGGTAAAAAAAAAATGGCAGTAGTAACGGTGTAAGGATACTAACAGCAACGCGTAGTGTGGCTGCGCGGCGAGCAGGCCGGCGGCCGAGCCCACGAACAGCTCCTGCTCCGTGAAGAATGGCAGCAGCAGCGAGCCCACGTGCACCGCGCCCATGCAGCCCTGCACATATGTACATCATCACAATAGCATTCACCACTCTGTAGCACCACACACGATTTCGTTGAAAAATACAGCTGCGTGCTAACTGCTTTTTTTCGGACTACTCTAATGCTTGGCCGCAGCTGACCTTTACAGCTTCACCGAACAATAGGGGGCGAGTGCAGATGGCACTCCTAACCTACGGATGAAATTATGGAGCGGCTGAGGGGCGGATTTCTCTAATGCTAATGGCCGCAGTTGGCCTTTACAGCTTTACCGGACTAGTATGCGATAGGATAGTGAGCGAGTAGTGCAGATGGCACTCCAAACACGCAGAAGGACTTCCGACGACCGGTGTGAAGCGCCCGGGCAGAATAATTACATTGCGAACGTCTCAGTCATATTTAAAACGTCGGTGCGAGCAGGAGCGCGTTTATATTGCCATCTCACTCACTATATTCCACTACTACTACCACTCTCCATTCGATCCGCTCAATCTCATACAATATTTAAAAATCGTCTAAGGTCTCATTATCTGTCCCAATTCTTCTTCCAATATATTGAATATATGTATGTATATTTATTTATATATATATATATATATGTATGTCTATTAATTAGTTTGATAATTCTAGTGTCTTGTGTGTGCCATCTACCTCTTCTGTGTATGTTAGTCCTATCTTGCAGGTTGTCTGTAAGAAATTGCTTATAGCGATAAGACCGCCTTTTGTTCATAATTTTCTATTTATTGTTTTTCTTTTTCTTATTGTATTTCTTCTATGTGCACAATAAAGAGTTTATTATTATTATTATTATTATTATATTCAACCAAATAATTACATATGACACTAATATTTAATATTTTGTGCATATAATCTGAAAATTATTCAAATTCAAATTCAAAAATCATTTATTCATATAGGACATTTTAGCCGCTTATGAACGTTAAGTTTTTTACATCATATAAAAAAAATACACATAGGTAACATATATAGAAAACTTGCTACTGACCCCGGCTTCCCACGGGTGTACATGTATTATATATATAAACCTTCCTCTTGAATCACTCTATCTAATAAAAAAAACCGCTTCAAAATCCGTTGCGTAGTTTTAAAGATTTAAGCATACATAGGGACGGACCGATAGCGACAGCAACTTTGTTTTATACTATGTAATGATAAACACAAGTTGTTCGTTTTTTTTACATACATATTTATTTATTTATTTATTTATTAAAGGAAAACCAAGGCTATTCAAGTACATCTTAAATAAAATCAATATATATGTCATAGTAAGCCACTGACAGGCTTTCACTAATAACAATAGATTAATTCTTAAAAAATTTACATTAATCCTTACTATATGAGTATATAGTTATATTTACCTTGAAGTATCCTCCGTCCAGGTTGTCTGCTGCGTACTGCGCGCCCTCCGTGTACTCCAGCACCGCCACGTCCGTCGAGTTCTCAGGCTGCAGCTGTACAATTAATTAATTACAATAGTAACCAATACACGCGTGTTATATTACTACACTAGCTGTTCCCGCGACTTCGTCCGTGTGGAATTTAACTTTTATTTTTCTAAAATAACAGTAGCCTAAAGAACTAAAAATTATTTTGTTAGTCTTGATTTATTCGTTCCATTAGGTACTGATACGTTGATGGATGTGTGGTGTGACGAGGATAGACAAGATAAAGAATGAATACATCAGAGGAAGTATGAAAGTGGCGCCGGTGTCGGAGAGGTTAAAGAGTAATCGTCTATCGTGGTATGGGCATGTAATGCGTAGGAATGAAGATCATATCCTAAGGACGGTGTTACATATGAATGTGGATGGTTATAAGGGTAGAGGAAGACCGAAAAAGAGATGGATGGACTGTGTGAAAGATGATATGGTGAGAAAGGGAGTAAATAACGCGATGACTGCGAACAGAGATGAATGGAAGAGAAAAACATATTACGCCGACTCCAAATAAATAGGACAAGGAAGAATCAGATGATGATGAGGTACTGATACGTTCAAACTAATACATTTACATCCTGGATCTTATATCCATGGAGGTTGAATTTATTAAATCCTATTTAAGCGAACGTCTTGATCATAGTAGCTTCAATCTTTAATTTTTTTTAAGTTCAATCACTAGAAAATCTAAGATGATTTGTACAAAATTTTGATCCCCTATTTTATCCCCTTAGGGGTGGAATTTATCAAAATCGTTTCTTAGGGAATGCCTACGTCATAGTAGCTTTATGTATGCAAAGTCTCATCCCAATCGGTTTAAAATTGACAAAGTTTCATACAAACTTTCATCCCCTATTTTATCCCCTTCGGGGTAGAATTAATCAAAATCCTTTCTTAGCGGATGCCTACGTCATAACATCTACCTACGTGCCAAATTTCAGCCCGATCCGTCCAGTGGTTTGGGCTGTGCGTTGATAGATCGCAGTGTCAGTCAGTCACCTTTGAGTTATATATCAAGAAACGTCAAATTTTATTTCTGATTAACCTATAAAAATGGGTAATTAATATTAATTTCCGATAGTGCCACAACACTATTTAAAAAAAAATGTAAAATCCTGGCAACATCGAAAACGTCAAATTTGTCTCCGGGATTAAAAAACAGACTATAGCGAAGATTTTTCCAAACGATAAAACAAGTGTACCGTGATGGTGGTGGTGGTGGGTGGTAGCCTGTCGCGCCGCACGCCGCCCAGGTGTATGTCACCGTCGGTGACGAGCTGCTGCCACGCCGCCACGTCGATGGCCGCCACGAACCCGGGCTCCTCGTGCCCGTCCGCCTCCACGAACACGCCTGCACAGGTCACCACACGACGTGTAACAAATCACATAATATACATCAACCAATCACACTATCTAATAAAAAAATCGCTTCAAAATCCGTTGCGTAGTTTTAAAGATTTAAGCATACATAGGGGCGGACAGACAGCGATTGCGACTTTATTTTATAGTATGTAATGATAATGGTGAAAGTCATAAAAGAGGTAGAGGACGTCCTTCAGCTACCTGGTGGACCAGTGTGATAAATCTCTTCAAGAGGGAAAAATTGCTCGACCCGATAACCCAGTAGATTCACCTGGCGCCGCAAAGTTAGGAGAGCCTACTCTATATAAAATGGGATAGTGCAAGGAAGAACTATGGTGACAGGTCAAAGATTTTGTAAAAGATGATTTGACAAGATATAAATCTATAGGACACTGTAGTGGACGTCTTTGTTTCGACTCGTGATGTGGTCGCGGGCGGGCAGCGTCCACTCGGCCGCCACCTGGTGGCGGTAGGCGTGGTGGCGTGTGACCTGTGATGTGGTCGCGGTGCAGCGTGAACCGCAGCGTGGTCCAGTGGCGGTGGTCGCGCGCGCGCATGCGCTGCAGGGCGGGCGCGCGGCCGGGCAGCCTCCACTCGGCCGCCACCTGCTCGCGGTACGCGCCCACGCTGAACACCGCGCCCTCCGGGGACTCCGCGCGGAACAGCGTGCCGCCCGTCTTGCTCCTGCGGAGAGTGGCCGGGTCAGTAGGGCACGGTCACCGCTGCCGAGACGGTCAGAGGTAAACGGGTCACGGTCACCACGGTCAGACAGGATACGGCGCGCCGCCGGTACGACAGGGTCGTGTTCACGTGTGTCGTGTCCTGTCACCTGTACGTAATGATGAGCGAGGCAGGCGACTGCCGCACACCACACGACAGCATCATGTTCGCACGTGTCGCGTCGTGTTCGCGTGTGTAGCGTCGTGCTCACATGTATCAGTCGCGCCGAGTCACCTGTATAGTGATAGTGAGCGAGTCGGACAGCTGCGAAGTACTACCGACAGGATCCTGTTTGCGTGTGTCGCATCGTGTTCGTATGTACCGTATTGCGTCGTAATAGTAAGCGAGTTGGGCAGCTGTGGAGCACCGATTTGACAGGGTCGTGTTCACGTGTGCACGCTAACTATGGGCCCCATCAACAAGCTCAGAGTCACTCAGAGGGCAATGGAGAGGGCTATGCTCGGAGTTACTCTGCGTGATCGAATCAGAAATGAGGAGATCCGCAGAAGAACCAGAGTGACCGACATAGCCCGAAGAATTGCGACTTTGAAGTGGCAATGGGCAGGGCACATAGCTCGTAGGACAGATGGCCGTTGGGGCAGTAAAGTCCTCAAGTGGCGACCACGGACCGGAAGGCGCAGCGTGGGAAGGCCTCCAGCAAGGTGGACCGACGATCTGGTCAAGATCGCTGGAAGGCATTGGATGCGAGCAGCGCAGGACCGATCGTCGTGGAGATCTTTGGGGAGGCCTATGTCCAGCAGTGGACGTCTTCCGGGCTGCGATGATGATGATGATGTGGTCACGTGTATGGGGTCGTGTTCACGTGTGTCGGTCTCGTCATATCACCTGTACGTGATAGTGAGCGAGTCGGGCAGCTGCGCAGCACTAACAATAAAACAGAGTCATGTTTGAGCGTGTCGCATCGTGTTCACATGTATCATGTAATGTCGTGTTACCTGTAGATGATGGTAAGCGAGTCAGTCAGCTGCGGAGCACTGCCGGTATAACAGAGTCGTGTTTGCATGTGTCGCGTCGTGTTCACGTGTGTTATGTCGTGTCACCTGTACGTGATGGTAATCTAGTCAGCTGCGGAGCACTGCCGATACTATTGCATCATGTTTGTGTGTGTCGCATCGTGTTCGAGTGTGTCGTGTCATGTCGTATCACCTGACGTGATGGTGAATGAGTCTGGTAGCTGCGGAGTACTGTCGTTACTATAGCGTCATATGTGCGTGAGTCGGATGGTGTTCGAGTGTGTGGTGTGGTGTCACCTGTAGGTGATGGTGAGTGAGTCGGGTGGCTGTAGAGCGCCACCAGCGAGTGGCAGTCCGCGCGGCACTCGCAGCCGGTACGACAGCGTCGTGTTCACGCCATCAAACGTTGCATTCGACACGCATTCGTATCTGTGAACAAAATATAACACCCATACCCATATTGTTAGGGTTCACATCGATATTGTCGAAAAATCTGATATATTGTCGAAAAATCTGATATTTATATTAAAAGAAGGTAGTTTCATTATTACTCGGTATCGTTAAACTAGTTGCATATAACCCCCACTCATATCTTCTCTGTATAAAAGGGAGGGTTTTTGTAGGCCGCGGCATTCGGTCTTTGAGCACAGGATGTGCTGGTTGTATTTTAATTGCTAAAGTGAATTGTGTTAAGACATAGTTAAATTAATGTTATATAGTTGTTATTTTATTATAATACATACTTTTACTAGTACATAGAGTTGATATATCTAACAATATCAATATCAATTTTTCATCTAATCAACATTTGCATTAAAGAAATGAGCCTTATCATACTACTAGCTGTACGCGACTTCGTCTGAGTAAAATTTAACTTTAGTTTTCTAAAATAAAAGTAACCTAAGTTACATCTTATTACATCAGCTACCTGTCAACAAAAGTCAAAATCGGTGCAGCCATTTCAGAGATTCGCCGGAACAAACAGACAGATAGACAAAAAATGTAAAAAATAATATTTTAATGAATGTACCGTATTTATATTCATATGCCTCTAGTAAAAAACGGTTATTTAAATATACGAACAGACACTCCAATTTTATTTATATGTATAGACATATAGATGTGCACTGTAGCATGGTGCGAGTGACAGTACTAAATTTGATTGTAAAACAAATTCACAAGTATGTTATACACATATAGTTACCCGGCATCTAGGTTCCTGCAGTGCGAGTTGGGCGGACAGTCCTGCAGCTGACAAAACTCCACCTGCGCACACTGTTTGCCCTTGTACCCACGCAGACATGTACACCTACGGAAACAAACATAAATTACAATTAGAACTTCCAGTTCTCAATCATGTATAATCAAAATATGATGAGACCACTTTCCGAATGAGCGTTAAATTAAAAAAATAAGTATGTGTATGATTCTCTAAAAGCGTATTTTTTTTCTATTCTATTGCTGTTGACCATAGCTAGCCTTTACAACTTCACCGGACGAAAGGGGGTGAGTGCAGATGGCATTTCTAAAGAACTTATGGAGCAGCTGAAGGCCAACTGCCTGAAGTATACGACTTAAGCCTGAGGACACCGATAGGGATTCGAACCTCGGCTCTGGGCTTCAAGTCGTTTAAATTGGACGGGGGATTGATGTGCTTAAATCAAAGCTCATTTGAATAAAGAATTATGCGTGCGTGTGTGTGCATGCGTGGTTGATATAAATCTACTAATTTCTAACTTGCAATATGTTACTACCCTAAATCCTACTCCTATTTTTATCCACCAAATCTGGGGGTAGCATCAACAAAATGAGTCGTTCGTTGTACGTCGCGTCGAGCACACGCAAATCAACATATTCTCCGCGAATCAACGTTAACGGAACCATCAGCCGCGATCTTCGCGCAATCATCTGATTAGTACATCATCCAGTGAAATTCATCGTAGTGTTGTGCGTTTTTAAAGTGAAACGGCTACGCGTATAATAAGACCTGCACGCTGGGACGACACGAACCAGGTTGGTCCTTAGTTTCCCTTTTTTACCCAACAGAATAAAGAATTATGCGTGCGTGCGTGTTGACGTGTTCAGGCGTGCGGGTGCGTGTGCGTGTGTACGTACGTGTAGTCGTTCCAGGTGAGGTGGCAGGTGGCGTTGTGCAGGCAGGGCCGGGAGGCGCAGGCGTCGTCGGAGACCACCCCGGGCAGCACCCCGGCCGGGTCCAGCGCCACCTCCCCGAACGGCGGCGGCAGGTGCAGCCCCGACACCCGCAGCGGGAAGAACTCCACCACCGTCACGTTCACGCCGTTCGACACCTGCGGGAACGCGCACCCCGCTATGTACCCTCCGCCATCATACACCACTCGTCACTTGAACCTCATATCTTATGGGCCTTTGAGTTGAGGTCCAGGTTAAACACTGACGTCACTACAGCAAGATTCAAGGTTTCTGAAAGGTCGGCAGCGCGGACGTGACACACCTCGTATTTCAGGCGTCCATGGGTTACGACACCCGTTTACCATCAGATAAAAAATATGATAACGTGCTTCTAAATGCATTAGAATAACTCAACATATAAGCGTATTGTAGAATGCAAGTGAAGCAAGATAAAACGGCTCTGCCGCAAGCACCACTTTACCATGAAAAAAAGACCAGAGGTAATTCTGTCCACACTTTCCTATATGAGTACCTAGTCTAATATACTTCAGTCGCTTAGCAACTTGCTTTTCAGAGGGCGAACGAAGGCAGAAAATTACTATTTAAGGAAACATGAAGTGAGAAAGGTCAGTCAAGTAACTGTATGCTTCTGTTAGGATTATTTATTATTCACATTCGTAAATAGATACATATTATACGTAAACACCCAGACCGATACAAACAATCATACTGATGAATACACAGGTTTCTACCGTGCGAGGAATCGAACCCGCGACCATCGGTAGTAAGGCGGTGAGCTAAACTGGACCACCGAGGCTGTCAAATCTAATATGGTAATCTGTGCTTATTTCCAAGCGCATATTTTAAATGTGTGTTTGTGTCACCTGCACGTCCTGTATGACGCCCTTGAAGTATTGGTCATCGTCGTCCTCGGTGGCGACCGCGGGGGGCGGGGGCCCGCCTAGATACAGCACCTGCCACACAACACCAAGCGTCACCACACCGTCGAAACAAACAGCCAAAATTAGGAAAAATACGGTATATTATTTATTTTTATTGAGTTCCCAATATTTCGGCAGTGTTCCAACCGCCATGATCGGGTAAACTGTTTTTTTCCTAATTATACGTATAAAAAATTATCGTGTCAAATTTAAAACATTTAAAACAAATAGTTTTTTTGTAATATGTCAAAATCGAATATACTAACAACGTAAAATTAAGGCATATTGACCTACAATTAAAAAAAGGCGAAACATTTAAGTACCTACATTACTTACACTGACAATATTTATAACACATTGCAATAGAAAAAATATTTCTAAGAAAATAGAAATACTATTTTCTAATAAAAATATGCTGAATATTGAATAAATAACTTGAACTTGAACTTAAAGCACGTATATTTATATAAGTTGTTTTATTAAAATGGAAACTCTGTGACACATTTCATTTCATTTCAGTGTGTGTGTGTGTGTGTGTGTGTGTGTGTGTGTGTGTGTGTGTGTGTGTGCGTGTGTGTGTGTGTGTGTGTGTGTGTGTGTGTGCGTGTGCGTGTGTGTGTGTGTGTGTGTGTGTGTGTGTGTGTGTGTGTGTGTGTGTGTGTGTGTGTGTGTGTGTGTGTGCGTCACCTGTGCGTCGAGTTGTTTGGCGGCCGATATGGACTTGCGGAAGTACTCTGTGCCGTTGAGCTTCACCTGCACCAACGTCGAGTTACGCACCACCTGTACCACCAATCAAATATTAAATCACACTAATATTTCATTAACGACGTTATTAATTGCATTCTGTATCATTTTAATTAAATCAACAATACTTAGTGTTGAACAAAAATTACTATTAAGGTTTATTTGAATAAAAATGATCTCTATGTGTACTGCTGTGAATGAGGACTGTAAGGGGCGTACGTAAATTACGTGAGGTATTTTTTTTAATTTTCTGTCCCTCCCTCGTGAGATGTCGTGAGATTTTATTCAACCCCCTCCCCCGTTCCCCAATCTCACGTGAGATTTTTCAAAACGTGGGTTTCTTACGTAAACGCGTTGGATTGTTATTGTAAAAAGAAAAAAAATTGCTTCGTGCTTTTATTTACGACTAGTTAAGACTAGTAATCAATATTGCTGAGAGTTATAAGTGTAATAAGCATGTACAATCTGAATTAAATGGACCAAAAAAATTTTTTTTTATTTTAATCAGAAAAAAAATTGCGTGATATTTGCCGAGACCCCCCCCCCTCTCTCCAACGTAAGATTAGATGAGATTTGACTCGACCCCGCCCCCCCCTTAAACATCTCACGTAATTCATGGACGCCTCTTAACTCATTACCTTTATACGTACGTTCTTTCATGACGTGATCAGAGCGCACGCAATGTAGCGCGGGAAAGCCAGTGCGCAAACGTGAGAAGAAAACACTCATGTTTTTTTTCCGGACTACTCTAATGCTGTTGGCCGCAACTGGGCTTTACAGCTTCACTGGACGATAGGGGGCGAGTGCAGATGGCACTCCAAACCAAGGAAGGACTTATGGAGCGGCTGAAGGCCAACTCCCGACTGACGGATACGACTTTAGTCTGAGGACGGGGGATCGATCGGAGAGGAATCTTTCACGCGGTAGTGTGTATGTTTCAGATCATTTACTTATATTAATCACATTATACAGTTACAACAATTATTTAAAAGTGCAACACGCCAGCTTTCGGAATGAGGGGTAGATTAAAAAAATAAGTGATGAATATTCAAAAGTACTTAAATAGTATATTTGAATGAAAAAAATTATATTCTATTTGACTTCTCTGTACTCGGTCACCAGTCGGAGAAGAGTTAGTGTGGTGACTGGTGACTGGTGACTGGTGACTGGTGAGTGGTGAGTGGCAACTCGCCTGTATGAGGTGCAGGTGTCCGTTGTCGAGGCGCGTGCCGCCGACGGTGTAGTTCTCTGAGGTCTGGTTGAACCGCAGGTGTACCAGCAGCTCTCCGCCCAGCAGCGACGCGCTCACCTGCGTCTCCTCCGACGGGTGCGCCCTGAATCACGAAGACATCATGACATTATAGACTTCTTTATATATAACTAGCTACGCTATATAACGCCCACATATACCAGTTTCCCTTCAATACGCTCAAATATATACATTGCTTGTATCAGTCCATACTCAAACATCAATAAATCAAGTTAGTAAGCAGTCCGGAACTTATCATTCATACAATATCGCATCCAGATTGTATGAGTCCAGTAGACTCATACACTAATGTAATGTACTGTAAATTGTACTCTAATCTCTACAATTAGCCTCTCATTTAGACCGTTGTGCGAGTAGAGCCAGACTACTAAAGTAGCCAATCGAGCTCCTACCAAAAGCGCAGTAGTCTCCTGGTGTCTTCACTGGCTTCGTTTTCGTTGTGTGACCACTGTAAGCACTCCAGGATTACGTTAGTGGCCATTTCTTCGGCTTCAAAGCAGCCCCAAGAAACAGGGCTCTCAGTATTAATATTTATCTCTCCTTTTCTCTCTTACACACGCACACACTCCCGCACGCACGCACCCACGCACGCACGCACGCAGGCACGCACGCGCGCTCGCACGCACGTACGCACACCTGCACGCACGTACGCAGGCACGCACGCATGCTCGCACGCACGTACGTCCGCACGCACGCACGTAGGCACGCACGCACGCACGTACGTCCGCACGCACGCACGTAGGCACGCACGCACGCACGCACGCACGCACGTCCGCACGCACGCACGTAGGCACGCACGCTCGCACGCACGCACGCAGGCACGCACGCACTCACGCACGCACGCACGCTATCTCTCCATCTCTCTCACACACACGCACATATACATAGATATACTCTATGGGTACAGTACTTGGGCAGCGATCCTAGGTAGAAGATGAGTCCGGTGGGCTTGCGCGTGCGCACGAACATGGACACGTCCAGCGCGGCGTGCACCGCGCGGCGCGCGTCCGCCGCCACCTGCACCCGCGCCACCGAGCGCGCGCGCGCAGACTCCTGCCCGAACGTGGCCGCCGTGTAGTCTGCGGGACACGTGTCTCATCTATACAATCTATACATATTAAGTCCGCCGCCACCTGCACCCGCGCCACCGAGCGCGCGCGCGCAGACTCCTGCCCGAACGTGGCCGCCGTGTAGTCTGCGGGACACGTGTCTCATCTATACAATCTATACATATTAAGTCCGCCGCCACCTGCACCCGCGCCACCGAGCGCGCGCGCGCAGACTCCTGCCCGAACGTGGCCGCCGTGTAGTCTGCGGGACACGTGTCTCATCTATACAATCTATACATATTAAGCACGGCGAGCACTTAATAATATTTTTTTTTGTTAATATTAGAGATGAATTATAAAAAAAAAAGCGCGCGCGAAGCAGATTCCCCGGACTCATCATGCCACATGGTTGCCGATGTCCTCTCCGGGGTCAGCAGCCCATCACACGATTGTAACGTTTTTTCATGACCTAAAAATCCTAATAAACGTCGTCTGTGTAGAATATTGACTTCAAAAAATGTTAGTGCGTGAGACACTCGTTTTGGCCGGTGAAGAGCGGCACGGGTTGGGCGCGCACTGCGGCGTGCGCGGGCAGGAGGCGCCGGTGAAGTGACTCACTGTACTGGCAGGTGTCGCCGAGGTAGGGCCGCGGGCACGTGCACACGAAGCTGGTCCAGGCGTCCTCGCAGGCTCCGCCCGAGCGGCACGGGTTGGGCGCGCACTGCGGCGTGCGCGGGCAGGAGGCGCCGGTGAAGTGACTCACTGTACTGGCAGGTGTCGCCGAGGTAGGGCCGCGGGCACGTGCACACGAAGCTGGTCCAGGCGTCCTCGCAGGCTCCGCCCGAGCGGCACGGGTTGGGCGCGCACTGCGGCGTGCGCGGGCAGGAGGCGCCGGTGAAGTGACTCACTGTACTGGCAGGTGTCGCCGAGGTAGGGCCGCGGGCACGTGCACACGAAGCTGGTCCAGGCGTCCTCGCAGGCTCCGCCCGAGCGGCACGGGTTGGGCGCGCACTGCGGCGTGCGCGGGCAGGAGGCGCCGGTGAAGTGACTCACTGTACTGGCAGGTGTCGCCGAGGTAGGGCCGCGGGCACGTGCACACGAAGCTGGTCCAGGCGTCCTCGCAGGCTCCGCCCGAGCGGCACGGGTTGGGCGCGCACTGCGGCGTGCGCGGGCAGGAGGCGCCGGTGAAGTGACTCACTGTACTGGCAGGTGTCGCCGAGGTAGGGCCGCGGGCACGTGCACACGAAGCTGGTCCAGGCGTCCTCGCAGGCTCCGCCCGAGCGGCACGGGTTGGGCGCGCACTGCGGCGTGCGCGGGCAGGAGGCGCCGGTGAAGTGACTCACTGTACTGGCAGGTGTCGCCGAGGTAGGGCCGCGGGCACGTGCACACGAAGCTGGTCCAGGCGTCCTCGCAGGCTCCGCCCGAGCGGCACGGGTTGGGCGCGCACTGCGGCGTGCGCGGGCAGGAGGCGCCGGTGAAGTGACTCACTGTACTGGCAGGTGTCGCCGAGGTAGGGCCGCGGGCACGTGCACACGAAGCTGGTCCAGGCGTCCTCGCAGGCTCCGCCCGAGCGGCACGGGTTGGGCGCGCACTGCGGCGTGCGCGGGCAGGAGGCGCCGGTGAAGTGACTCACTGTACTGGCAGGTGTCGCCGAGGTAGGGCCGCGGGCACGTGCACACGAAGCTGGTCCAGGCGTCCTCGCAGGCTCCGCCCGAGCGGCACGGGTTGGGCGCGCACTGCGGCGTGCGCGGGCAGGAGGCGCCGGTGAAGTGACTCACTGTACTGGCAGGTGTCGCCGAGGTAGGGCCGCGGGCACGTGCACACGAAGCTGGTCCAGGCGTCCTCGCAGGCTCCGCCCGAGCGGCACGGGTTGGGCGCGCACTGCGGCGTGCGCGGGCAGGAGGCGCCGGTGAAGTGACTCACTGTACTGGCAGGTGTCGCCGAGGTAGGGCCGCGGGCACGTGCACACGAAGCTGGTCCAGGCGTCCTCGCAGGCTCCGCCCGAGCGGCACGGGTTGGGCGCGCACTGCGGCGTGCGCGGGCAGGAGGCGCCGGTGAAGTGACTCACTGTACTGGCAGGTGTCGCCGAGGTAGGGCCGCGGGCACGTGCACACGAAGCTGGTCCAGGCGTCCTCGCAGGCTCCGCCCGAGCGGCACGGGTTGGGCGCGCACTGCGGCGTGCGCGGGCAGGAGGCGCCGGTGAAGTGACTCACTGTACTGGCAGGTGTCGCCGAGGTAGGGCCGCGGGCACGTGCACACGAAGCTGGTCCAGGCGTCCTCGCAGGCTCCGCCCGAGCGGCACGGGTTGGGCGCGCACTGCGGCGTGCGCGGGCAGGAGGCGCCGGTGAAGTGACTCACTGTACTGGCAGGTGTCGCCGAGGTAGGGCCGCGGGCACGTGCACACGAAGCTGGTCCAGGCGTCCTCGCAGGCTCCGCCCGAGCGGCACGGGTTGGGCGCGCACTGCGGCGTGCGCGGGCAGGAGGCGCCGGTGAAGTGACTCACTGTACTGGCAGGTGTCGCCGAGGTAGGGCCGCGGGCACGTGCACACGAAGCTGGTCCAGGCGTCCTCGCAGGCTCCGCCCGAGCGGCACGGGTTGGGCGCGCACTGCGGCGTGCGCGGGCAGGAGGCGCCGGTGAAGTGACTCACTGTACTGGCAGGTGTCGCCGAGGTAGGGCCGCGGGCACGTGCACACGAAGCTGGTCCAGGCGTCCTCGCAGGCTCCGCCCGAGCGGCACGGGTTGGGCGCGCACTGCGGCGTGCGCGGGCAGGCGGCGCGCACGCGGTGCAGCGCGGCCGCGCGCGCCCGCCGCGGCTGCCCCGCCTCCCCCGCCTCCCCCGCCCCCCCCGCGGGCCCCTCCGCCGCCCCCTCCGCGGCCTCCTCCGCCTCCTCCGCCTCCTCGGCGGCCTCCTCGCCCTCCTCCGCCGGCGCCTCCGTGGTCGCGCTCTCCGTGCTCGTCGCGTTCGAGTCCTCCGGCAGCACCTAGTAACGAATACATTACATTAAACTAAAAATTATTTTGATCGTCTTGATTTATTCGTTCCATTAGGTACTGATACGTTCAAACTAATACATTTACATCCTGCATCTTATACCCATGGAGGTTGAATTTATCAAATCCTATTTAAGCAAACGTCTTCATCATAGTAGCTCCAATCTTTAATTTCTTTAAGTTCAATCAGTCGAAAATCTAAGATTATTTGTACAAAATTTCAACCCCTATTTTATCCCCTTAGGGGTGGAATTTATCAAAATCCAAGTTTTCTTCAGCCTGTTATGACGTAGGCATCCTACGTCATAACATCTACCTGCATGCCAAATTGCAGCCCGATCCGTCCAGTGGTTTGGACTGTGCGCTGATGGATCTCTATGTCAGTCCGTCAGTCATCTTTGAATTATATATATTTAAATAATGATACACGGTACTCACCCACTGGCCATTAACAACCACATCCTGGAAGCAGCCGACGAAGAAGTTGGGTCCGTGGCGCAGCGTGGCGTATGAAGAGCCGGCAGTACCGAGCCGAGTGCTGGGGAACGATGTCACCGTCGCGTTGAAGGCCTCATTCTGGCTGATCGGGTAGATGGTCTGCTCCTCATTCGCAGCCAGCACCAGGTGCGACGAGTTTATCGTCACGAACACCTGCCAACACCACCAGTCATTGTAACACCACTGTAGGCGACGCACTAAGTTCTTAAAATATCATCGATTATATAGAAAAATGGCTGGCTAAAATTAGTTACAATATTTCAACATAGATGGCGCTCTAGTGTTAGGTGATTGAAGCGCATTTACTTTTTTTATTTATGATTGTTGTAAAGTCAGTCTTTAATACAGATACGTCAAATCTATACCGGTGTTTTAATTAATAACAAATTAGGAAGTTAAACAAACATTATGGTCCTTCGAGCCGGATCTGTTTTGTGCAGTTTACAATAATAACTCAGTACATTAAATAATTTACATGAAATACTTCGAGATTTCACTAAAAATAAAAACGTTAATAAAGTGACTGAGAGGTTAGGTATCAGTGACAATAAACTAAAATTAGTATTCAAAGTGTACATTTTTTACAAGACAAGTATTTCATGTTTTTAAATTAGTTTTTTCCTTTAAAGTTTTAAATTTACACAGAAGTATTATATATCATTTTAAAAGTATTTAGATAATGATTCTTAATCATAGACATTCATTGATTCTTAATCATTTTCTTAATCATAGACTGTATGTAATGTTTTTATTTTGTACCGTTACGTTATAATATAAAATTTGAAGAAATCTAGTATATCCAAGAATATTTCCAACACTATAATAGTGCGTTAACATGTCAAAGTATAAGAAAACGGTACCTTCTGCCAGTTGCTGTCGTTGAGGTTGGACCCTATGAACACGCCCTCCCACTTGTTGAGCAGGCTCGAGTGCAGGTTGAGCCGGCCGCTGCTCAGCTCCAGGAAGAAGTACGTGAGTCCGCGGCCCATGGCCAGCAGCCCGTTGCCGAGCGTTGTCTTGAACCGGAACGACAGGTCGTAGCCCTCCTCGCGGGACGTGTTCACCTCCGCGTAGCTGCTCTTCTCCAGAGACATCGTCGTTATCTGAAACGCACGCCGATTGTAGTTCTTCATTTTTTTGTGAATACATATTATGTAATAGTATCTAAAACTAAAGTGAAGTTTATCACAAACCGATAGACTAACTACCAGCTATCCTCGCGGTTTCACCCTGAGTAAATGTCAATATAAATAATTTATGTCAGGCTTGTACGATGTTACTTTTAGCAAAATGCATGCTAAACTGGATTCATCTGTCAAACGGTTTTAAAACCGAGTTTTTAATGTTATTTGTTGCGGGTGAATAATAAGATGTTGTTGGTCGAGACGATGATAATAAACTGACAATGTGTACATAGAAATAATGATCTTATATACTAAATAACAATAGGAAAATGTAAGGTGGGGTGACACAGTTTAGACACAGCAGTGCTTAGTAGACAATATTGAATTTGTCTTACTAGACATTATTAAATGCAATTATTATTTTGATGTATCTAGGTGACTGTGTCCCATATTATTCATCTCTGAAAATAATGACTCGCAGGCATAGGTAGGTGAAAATATTGTTAAAATAGCATGAGCCAGCTTCTTCAAACAGTTTTATGATCGACGACGTGCCGAAAATATTGTGTCGCTTGTCGTCAATGGCACGCGTTTCATTGGTTCGCTTACCCTGTCATAGGGAGTCAATACAAAAATTATGAAGTTGACGTAATGTTTATTTTTAGGTGGGTGCGTGGTGCATCCGACCGTGCTGTTCAATATTCATTATGCTTACTTCCTTACTATAATATTATAAATGCGAAAGTAATTCTGTCTGTTTGTCTCGCTTTCACGCCATAACTATTAACCCGATTTAAACGAAATTTGGTACATAGGTAGTCTAGACCCTGAGAAAGGACATAGGTTACTTTTTAATACGAAAAAGGGTTGTAGGGGTTGAAAGGGGAGATGAAGGGTTGTATGGAAGTATTGTCATTTTTAAAGCTAGAAGCTTGAAACTTATTTTTTATTATTGATTGAATATAAACAAAAAAAAGGGTTTTAAGGGGTTGAAAGGGGAGATGAAAGTTTGTATGGAAGTATTGACATTTTTAAAGCTAGAAGCTTGAAACTTATTTTTTATTATTGATTGAATATAAACAAAAAAAAGGGTTTTAAGGGGTTGAAAGGGGAGATGAAGGGTTGTATGGAAGTATTGTCATTTTTAAAGCTAGAAGCTTGAAACTTATTTTTTATTATTGATTGAATATAAACAAAAAAAAGGGTTTTAAGGGGTTGAAAGGGGAGATGAAAGTTTGTATGGAAGTATTGACATTTTTAAAGCTAGAAGCTTTAAACTTATTTTTTATTATTGATTGAATATAAACAAAAAAAAGGGATGTAGGGGTTGAAAGGGGAGATGAAAGTTTGTATGGAAGTATTGACATTTTTAAAGCTAGAAGCTTTAAACTTATTTTTTATTATTGATTGAATATAAACAAAAAAAAGGGTTGTAGGGGTTGAAAGGGGAGATGAAAGTTTGTATGGAAGTATTGACATTTTTAAAGCTAGAAGCTTGAAACTTGTTGATAGAATATAAATAAAGAAAAAGGGTTTTAAGGGGTTGAAAGGGTTATTGATTAAATATAAATAAATAAGACATTTTAAGTTTGTAAAAATGTTACCCTTAAGGGCGCAAAATAAAAAAGGGATGTAAAATGGTCATTTTTGCAGTTAGATCGATGAAACTTTTTTTTTGCTATTTTGGATTACACTATTGAATATTTTTTCTTTATTTGGTCAAGGTTACTATAACACGCGAATGAAGTCGCGGGCATAGCTAGTAATCTATAAAAATACATGAGGTGATTCGTGTGGTGCGCTATAATAGGCCTCACCTTCTCGCAGACGTGTCCGTAGTGTCCGGGCGCGCAGGAGCAGTTGAACCGGTGCTCGGTCTCCCGGCGCAGCCAGGGCCGGCACGTGCCCCGGTTCCGGCACGGCTGCGCGTCGCACCCGCGCAGCGCCACCGAGCAGTTCCGGCCGCCGTACCCGGCCGCGCACGCGCACGAGTACGACGCGCGCCCGTCGAAGCAGCGCCCGTGCACGCACGGACGGTACCTACGCACAGCCACAGCTTACTAATATCTAACATACTATTCCCTTCGATTCTTGAAGAAAATGGAAACAAAATAAATGACACACTAACTGCCTTTTCTTTTATGCAGGAAACGATGAACATGTATATGTAGATAAAGAACGAGAAATATCGAGCGCGTTTGCGCATTTCTGAGTTCTTCAATCAACATTACATACATTAAAAACGTGGTATACAAAACAACTCGATGATCACCGCCATCATCGACTACTGGTATTCACGTCCTCGTATCCTCCGAGCCCGTCCGCGCACTCGACCCCGTCCTCCGTACCTCTGGCACTCGTCGATGTCGATGTCGCAGCGCTCGCCCTCGTAGCCGGCGCTGCAGTGGCACACGTATCCTCCGAGCCCGTCCACACACTTGCCGTGTCCGCAGGGCGAGGAGGCGCACTCGTCCACGTCCACCTCGCACCGCGCGCCCAGCGTGCCGGCCGGGCACACGCACGCGAACCTGCAACAAACGATACCATTCCTATATTCCTCCCAGACTCCACCGGTCCACAACACTCGGCAGAACGTATTTAATCGTCGTTCTAAACTCGTTAATTTATATATTAGCATATGGACTGCCAATTGTGAGACGAGATAAATCATAAATTGCGGTCTTTTCTAGGACTTCAAGTACAAGTCATCTTGTAATGACATTTTTGTACAAATACGATTAAACTCGGAAATATATTAGTGTTAATATCTATAAATGGCTTTTGGACACTGAAAAAATAATACTGGCTTGCATGAACCAATTTTTAAATACTAGCAAAACATCTATGTAAAGGAAATATATAATTTATTAAAATACTAGCAAAAACACAATACAAAGAAGACGTAGAAGATGTGGTCCGGCAGCAGCATGTGCATGTGCGGCTGCGGGCCCAGCTGCAGCGGCGGCGCGGCCGGCTCGCGGTACAGGCTGGCGTTGGTAACATGGATAGCGACATGTGACAAGAGTAGTGTGCTCACCCGCTGGCGTTGTGGTATGAGAAGGGCGCGTAGAAGAGGTCCGGCAGCAGCATGTGCGGCTGCGGGCCCAGCTGCAGCGGCGGCGCGGCCGGCTCGCGGTACAGGCTGGCGTTGGTAACATGGATAGCGACATGTGACAAGAGTAGTGTGCTCACCCGCTGGCGTTGTGGTATGAGAAGGGCGCGTAGAAGAGGTCCGGCAGCAGCATGTGCGGCTGCGGGCCCAGCTGCAGCGGCGGCGCGGCCGGCTCGCGGTACAGGCTGGCGTTGGTAACATGGATAGCGACATGTGACAAGAGTAGTGTGCTCACCCGCTGGCGTTGTGGTATGAGAAGGGCGCGTAGAAGAGGTCCGGCAGCAGCATGTGCGGCTGCGGGCCCAGCTGCAGCGGCGGCGCGGCCGGCTCGCGGTACAGGCTGGCGTTGGTAACATGGATAGCGACATGTGACAAGAGTAGTGTGCTCACCCGCTGGCGTTGTGGTATGAGAAGGGCGCGTAGAAGAGGTCCGGCAGCAGCATGTGCGGCTGCGGGCCCAGCTGCAGCGGCGGCGCGGCCGGCTCGCGGTACAGGCTGGCGTTGGTAACATGGATAGCGACATGTGACAAGAGTAGTGTGCTCACCCGCTGGCGTTGTGGTATGAGAAGGGCGCGTAGAAGAGGTCCGGCAGCAGCATGTGCGGCTGCGGGCCCAGCTGCAGCGGCGGCGCGGCCGGCTCGCGGTACAGGCTGGCGTTGGTAACATGGATAGCGACATGTGACAAGAGTAGTGTGCTCACCCGCTGGCGTTGTGGTATGAGAAGGGCGCGTAGAAGAGGTCCGGCAGCAGCATGTGCGGCTGCGGGCCCAGCTGCAGCGGCGGCGCGGCCGGCTCGCGGTACAGGCTGGCGTTGCTGCGCTGCACGCACACGCCGCCGTGCTGGCACGGCCCGGCCGCGCACTCGTCCACGTCCACCGAGCAGTCCTTGCCTGCGCACGCAACGCCCACACACTCACTACTCGCCCACAACTGTCTAGTGCCACGCTACACAGATCAATAGCAGACGTGGCAATAGTAGATCATGCACGGGATTTTCACTTAATGTTTGACCATAGACACCTACATAATTTACGAAGAACGCTGAACCTATTATAAGTTACGACTAATTTAAAAAAATAATGTTTGCTACACTATGGTATCAGACTAAAACTTCTATAAAAACTGTAACTATGGAAGTAAAATAAAATAAAAATTAGTGCACAATTACTGGCTTAATAAAAAAAGTTCAAGTTCAGGTGGGTTTCTAGCCAATTCTTCTCAATGAATTTGTATAACGAACTAGATGGTAGGAAAACAAATATAAAATAAAAAATGTTACGTTCATAAGCGATTAAAATGTCCTACAATGTCCTACAATAAATGATTTTTGAATTTGAATTTATAGGTACTCCTGAATCTGATGCAGGGGAATCTCGTTTCGAGGATTTGATATCGTGAGGCTGCCGACTGGCACGGTAGTGTGGTGCACGTTACCGGTGTATCCGGGATGGCAGGTGCAGCGGTAGTCGTTGAGGTCGTCGTGGCAGGTGGCCCCGTTGGCGCAGGGCTGCGGTGCACACTCGTCGATGTCCTGGCCGCAGTCGTCGCCCGTGAACCCGGTGCCGGCGCACTCGCACCGGAACCCATTCAGCTCGTCCACGCACCGTCCTCCGTGCTGGCACGGCGCGGACTGCAACCCACAACACACTCATGAACCCGTTCACACTACCTAACTACCACTGCACTGATTTCTCGTCAACAAAACGAAATTCGTACTGCTTGATCTTCATTATATAGCAGAAAACAAATTCGCTGTCGCTGTCTGTCCGTCCCTATGTATGCATAAATCTTTAAAACTACGCAACGGATTTTGAAGCGGGTTTTTTTAATAGATAGAGTGATTCAAGAGGAAGGTTTATATGTATAATACATATAGCTAGTATTTCACTAAACAGTAGCATAATTTTTTAAGTTTCTTACAAAATTAACATGATTTTTTAGCTATGTTGACATATTAGTTTTAGATTTTTTTGCAATATTAAAGTTGCCTGGAAGAAATCGCTATTTTGCGATAAGGCCGCCCATTGTTACCTCTATATTATAATTATATTTCTCTTTATATTTGATGTACATATTAATTTATGTAATTGTTATTTCTTTCTGTGAGAGAAACAAAAAAGAGTTTTTCATTCACTTTCATTCATTATTACAATAAGAAAACTATTTTAATTATATTTAATCGAATTAAGTGTTTTTGCGGAAGTCCATTTCACCACGAGATGGATTTATATTATTTTGTTTGATTCCGCTATAATTAGCATGACTATATAACATGATAACTATGTATCGATTGACTTAATAACTGTTGGAAATTGATCACCAATAGAGAAGGTCGTAACGGTAGCCAAGTTTCCACAGTGAATATTTGTGGTCTCATACATACTAATTGTAGCGGAATTAAATAAAGTAGTATATGTCGCCGCAGCTACATTATAACCCACAAAATAAAAATAAGGAGATGAATGACGCATCTGCTGTTGATTTACCATATTGATTATCAACATTAATAGAAACTGAATCACATTCATTACATCTTTAATATAAGGACGATAGATGGAGCTACCATGCGGCTTAATATCAACGCATAATCGCTTCAATTAATGCCGCTAGATGGCGTCATTATCAGTCCTTTTTAATAACTTATGTTTGTTATTTAAAATTACTAAATGTAGTAAAAACTAAATTAAATGTTAAAATTTATTATGAATTAAGCAATTGTTATGTGAATTGTAAATAAATTTATCTATGTCGAGCGAATGTCGGATGTTGCGTAACGTCCGCCATTTGCGTGCGGATTTCCTTCACAATAATTAAAACTTTGATAAAATCTTGTAACCATTTTTAAAAGAAAATAATGCAATCATCTTGATTTAAATTTAAATACCATAAAGTTATTTTTAACAATAATGTAACGTTCAATTATTTTGCATTTAAGTTGTTAACTAAAATCAACATGAAAAACATCCGGATGATTCGGTTAATAGTGTAAGTCAAATTTATTAATATTACAAGTTTATGGCTTTATTTAATTGCTAATATTATTAGAATAACTAGACGGTAATTTAAGTAATTATGCCGCTTTATTATTGTTTAATTATAAGCCTTAGGCAAAAATGGTATTTCACTTCCGGCACTGTGGCGATCGACACCTTCCGACTTGAGCGCGCGTTCAAGTTGGAGGGAACACGATTTGACCACATGGCTGGTCTTGTGAATAAGATTCATTCTGTGTTCGGTGCTCGAGCGGCGTGGAAGTAAGTTGAAAACTCTTGTTACTTTAGTAGAATCGATTTGTAATTATAATCACATTAGAAAAGTATTGTGTTATAAAATAAAATGAAAGATAGACTATAATCATATTTAGAGATTATTAGAGATTATTATTATATTTAGAGATTATTATTATAATAATAAACTAATCTAATTTCGCTTGTTCTTTTATTATTTTAATGTAATGTTAAACTACTACCACTAGTAGAACCGATGATCCTATTACAGGTCAACGGTTCTGCAGCTTTTTAAAAAGTATTCCTGCTTTCCTACTCCGACATCAGAAGTGGGATCGCTCCAGCGATCCCCTTTCTGCCCCGGTCATAACATTTTTTCAGATCCTGACGTTAAACCAAACCCTACGGCTACGTTATGAGTGACACCGAGCGAAATACTTCTGCAGCGAGTGCAACGATACAAGCGGACGTGACCGGTGTTTCCAGGTCGCCACCTTCAGCACCGATAGAAACCTGTCCAGGCCCGTCTCAACAAGGCGCCCCTACAGCTACGGTACTCCAACAGCAGCCCGGTGATGTACCACCTAATTTTTTCTTACAAATGATGAATGTTATGCAAAATATGAGTGATAGGCTACTAAATCAACAGCAATCTGACAGGGTTAAAATTACTGACGTTTTCCTACCTTCCTATGATCCCGATGGAAACGTTGGGGTCCGTGAATGGTGTAACCACATTTCAACGGCTAAAAACACCTATCAGCTAACTGATTACGATTTACGAATGAAAGTGACAAGCTTATTGAGGGGTCGTGCTAAAGTATGGGCTGATAACTGGCTTGTGACCACCAGTACCTGGGACGAGCTGCGGCAAATAATTATTACTACTTTTGAACCTGAATCTCGCTATTCGAGAGACGTACTTAAATTCAGAGAGCATACCTATGATTCTTCTAAAGATATTGCCGAATTCTTAACTCAATCGTGGATTTTATGGAGACGCGTAACTAAGGATAAGTTAGATAACAGTGATGCTGTTGAAGCTGTTCTTGGTACTATCGGTGACGAACGTCTTAGAATAGAGTTAATGAACGCAAGAGCTACCTCAGTGCCAGAATTAATTTCGGTTGCTTCATCTATCCGTAGTAAACGTTCAAGTCAACTTAGGGTCGATCAACCTCTCCAAAAACGTACGCGATATACAATTGACCATAGGCATACTGCGCAATATTGTAATTTTTGTAAAAGAACTGGTCACACGTTGAATAATTGTCGTAATAAGAAATCTGCTGACTTAAATTTAATCAATGACAAAAACGCAGCCAATCCTCAAAGTGGTAGACCTCACAATATTAAACACTGCTCGTTTTGCGGTAAACCAGGTCACGTGTTTGATACTTGCTTTCGGAGAGAAAAGGAGATTTCTTCTAATGTAAACTCACTCGCAAATAAAGGAAATACTTTAAATGTAATGCGTATGAGTGTCTGTGGAAAACTTATTAACACGGTATTTGATAGCGGTGCGGAATGCTCAGTCATGCGAGAATCCGTTGCGAATAAGTTACCCGGGCGTAGATGTCAAATAGTCACACACCTACGAGGCATAGGTCCATTTCCCATTATTTCCACGTCCACGCTGAAAGCAGTGTGCATAATCGACGACGTTAACGTAGAGATATTGTTTTATATTCTACCTGACCACGACATGACAACAGATGTTTTAATTGGAGCAGACATACTACATAGTTCTGGTCTTAGTGTAATCGTAACTAGAGAAAGAGCAAGACTTTGTTATAATCCTTGTATTCAATACATACAGTCAAAGAGCCCCTTATTTGAGAAAATTGACCACGACTTGACTGACGAACATCAAATCAACCAACTCCTTACTTTATTGTACAAATATTCTGAACTTTTCACACGTGGGTATTCAAAAACGCGCGTTAAAACCGGCGAATTAGAAATCCGTTTGAAAAATAAAGATAAATATGTTGAGCGAAGGCCTTACAGACTCAGTCCAGTCGAACGCACAAAGGTCAAAGACATTGTGGAGGAACTCATCAAAGCCAATATAGTGCGTGAGAGCAGATCACCTTATTCCAGCCCAATAATTCTAGTAAGAAAGAAAAATGGAGACGACCGTATGTGTGTTGACTATCGGGAGCTAAACGCTAATACAATACGCGACCATTTCCCTCTTCCACTTATTGCTGACCAGATTGATCAACTGGCAGGTGGACAGTATTACACCACACTTGATATGGCATCTGGTTTCCACCAGATACCTATCTCGCCAGACTCAATCGAAAAGACCGCATTTGTAACACCAGACGGACTTTATGAATATTTAACGATGCCCTTCGGTCTTTGTAATGCACCTTCCGTGTATCAACGATGTATAAACCGAGCCCTAGGACAGCTCCTAAACCCTGGTAGTGCTAATACCTTACATAACGATAGCGTGGCCCAGGTTTATATCGACGACGTCATCTCCAAATGTCGTGATTTCACATCGGGCATCTCTTACTTGGAGAGAATCTTTATAGCGTTACGTGAATCGGGATTTTCTATAAATATTGATAAATGCCTATTCTTTAAACGGTCAATAGAGTATCTTGGAAACGTAATAGAAAATGGTCAGGTTCGCCCGAGTCAAAAAAAGTAGAGGCTCTAATAAAGGCCCCTATACCATCTACTGTAAAACAGATACGACAATTTAATGGCTTGGCTGGATATTTTCGTCGCTTTATACCTGATTTTGCGCGAACTATGTCACCACTGTACGACCTGACTAAAAAAGGGACTAAGTGGGAATGGAGTCATAGACATGAAGAGGCACGTCAAAAAATCATTCATCATCTCACTTCTACTCCTGTCCTCACTATATTCCAAGAAGGCAAGCCTATAGAGCTATTTACTGACGCTAGCAGTCTAGGCTTTGGTGCGATACTCATTCAGTTAATAAATGAACGACAACATGTCATTGCATATTTTAGCATGCGTACAACAGAAATAGAGAGTAGATATCACTCGTATGAGCTCGAGACACTAGCAGTGGTCAGAGCTATAAAACACTTTCGCCACTTCTTGTATGGACGTAAGTTCAAAGTAATTACCGACTGCAATGCTTTGAAAGCCTCTAAACACAAGCAAGACTTATTACCTAGAATACATAGATGGTGGGCTTACCTTCAAAATTTTGACTTTGATATAGAATACAGGAAGGGCGAGCGGATGCAGCATGCAGATTTTTTGAGCAGGAATCCTGATCCTCTGACTGTCAACCTCATGTCAAGTAATCTAGACTGGCTAAAAATAGAACAACGTCGCGACGCGCAGTTAAGGCCCATTATCGATTCCATCCATGCTGGCAATGAAGTCACTGGATACTTCCTTGAAGATG